GAGGATCGATGCGATCGCCTAGACAATGGACCCCAGAACCTAGACGACAAGTCGACGATGTGGAGAACTACTAAGATGATCACGATGCGCAACGTCATAGACGGACTGTGCCTGCGGGAGTGCGTGGCATCGGCGTGACCTGAAGATCGCGTCCGGCGCTGCAAGATCACGAGATTGAGATGGTGTATTGGCCCAAGGACGGGCACGCAGGGCGAGCGTAGTGGCCGATGGCATCACGTAAAAGACCCTGAGCCCCTTGTCGGCACGGGTCTCAGCGAATGTTCCCTGCATGGTTAGATTTGCAGGCACGCAGAGAATCCAGTCGACGAGCAGTATATAGTCGCGGCGATATAGGCAGAAACAGCGCGCTCTTGACGTGAAGCGTTGCAGGAACAGTGGTTCGCAGGACGGGCAGCAGTTAAATGAGCAAAAGTCTGGAACATGTTCCGCTCCACAAGTGCCATGAGCAAATGAAGTGACGCGAAGCATGTGCCACCCTATTGACGGCCAGCGCCCGAAACGGAGGCAGGCCGAGAGGGGAATACGGATGGCGTGCGGATAGACTAGTGAAACGGCACTGGGGGAGGTATGTAATGGAGGCAGCTGGAGGCGATGGTGTACATGATAGCAAGTGGGTGAAGGAAATGAGAGTTTGGTAGCTGGGAGCATGGAGATGTGAAAAGCAATGGCATTGTCAGCGCGCGAGAGATGAGTGTGCATGCGTGCATCGAGTGGCTGCGTGTCAGGGCGACGGCGCGGTGGGTCAACGTCGTCGCGATGCAGGGCCGACTGGTGGTAGCGGACCCTATTGGCGAGCAGGGAGCATCCCCGGCCCACCTGAGGTTTCAGGAGGTGTAGGTTTAGCTATTCTTGCACGCGAGGCAGCATAGAACATCGCGACGCCCCAGACACTGCTCAGGGCCTGCAGTCCATCACTGATCCCTCGACGCTTGCTGTCGTATCCGCTCCTTCGCGCTGCTTTCATTCTTCATGGTGCCGATTGCATCCACGCCCTCCCAAAATACCCCCCATTGCACCCACCGCTCTTATCACGGCTGCTTTTCCCGCACGCGCTGCTCAGCCCCGTGTCTCCCGCATTCATCCCTCCAGGCGGCTTCGACGGCTTCTTTTGCCCGGTCGCGCGCATGACGGCCCAGCGTCATCAATCTTCCGCCGCACATTCCATGAACCACTAGCCCGCCTGCCACTTCCTTCACCATGGCAAACCGCACCCAACGCCCGGGCGGCCTCGACTTCCGCTCCCAGTCCTTCGACCCTCCCACCACCGCCAACTCGCTCTCCTCCAACCACCTCGGTCTCGGAAACCTCGCCAGCGCCAGCATGAGCAATCTGTCCCTCGGCTCCGACCTGCCCAGCCCGCGCACCGGCGAAGCGCCGCCCGCCCTCTCCCCTCTGGATGCCCTCGCCCTCCAGGGCCGCTTGCTCGCGAAGCGCTTCGAGCAGCAGGACAAGACGGGCCGCCGCCTCAGTCGCCTCGCCCCCCTCACCATCCAGAATGAATTCGGCAACCGCGGCGGCTACTTCTCGTCCCTCTCCAACTCGACCGTCAACTCGCCCAACGAAGATGCAGGCCCCGTCCGCTCCCCGCGCCCCGAGGCCTCGCCCCGCCAGGAGATATCGTCGGACAAGCGACACCAGTCCTACTACCCGCAGTTTGGCATGGACGAGCCCGAGCCCCAGTACGCCATTGGGCCGCTGCAGAGTCCCATGGCCACCATCGCTGAGGCCAGCCCTGCGACGCCTCCCCAGAGCTACTTCGACATCCCCAGGTCGCGCTCCCCCGATTCGGTAGAGCCACACATCGGACTGCGCGAGGCCACGCCCGTCAGTCCCCATCTGCCGGCCGCTCCTACCTCCCACATGTTCCTCAGCCCGCAGAGGAAGCGCTCTGGCGACTCGCAGCATTCCCAGCACTCGCAACAATCGCAGCCCCGCTCGGCACCACGCTCCAACCTACTCCCGCCGCGCTCGTCCAGCTCCCTCCACTCGAACCGCTCACCGAGCATCCGCTCCGCCGCTGGCACATACGACGATGTCGAGGACATGTCCCTCAGCGGGTCCTACGACTCCCTGCACCAGACGCGCAACCTGTCCCCCAGCTCCAGCCTGTCGAGAGCCCAGTCTCCCTTCACGCCTGCCACGGGTCCTACCATGATTCCCCGATCACCGTCAGCTGCGTCCAACTACTCGGTCGATGGCGGCAGTCTCCCGCGCCCTGCCTACAACTTCTCAAGACCCAACTTCTCACGCCCCACAAGCCGGCAGAGCGTGCGTCCGTCATTGGACGTAAGGTCAGATGCCGGACCCTCGCGACAGCCGTCCGAGGAGAGCGTGAACATGAGGCCCTCCTTCGATGACCAGCTCCGCCGACAGGACTCTAACGATATCCCTACTGCTCACTACGCCAACGAGCAGGTCCACACTCCCGTCAGCATGGTAAGCGAGGACTTCCGCCGGTCCGGCGAGTTCGGCAACAACCCAGCCCCGTCCTACACATACACCAGGTTCAACCTCCCTCGCGGCAGGGCCGTCGACCGCAAGTCTGTCGGTATTGAGGACTTTTTCAAGCGCGAGATCAAATGGGACCAGCCTGGAGGCCAGCCTAACCAGACTCAGGCGCGACCTCCTTCACCCGAATCACCGCCTCGTTCTTTCGACCAAACACGCCAGCAACAGCCACAAGCCAGGCGGGATGCCTCCTTCGACCACGGTACCCCGTCCCTCACATCCAGCAACAGCACCATCCGCGCGCGGACAGCCGGGTCTGTTGGGGAAGTCACAGCGCAGCAGCACTGCGACATGGGGCTGGAGCTTCACGAAGCTGGTGAACTACTCAAGTCCACCTATCACCTTCGACTCGCAGCTCGCGCTGGTCTTCCAGAAGCCATGTTCTGGTATGGCCTCGCTTGCCGTCACGGCTGGGGCATGCGTGAGAACAAGTCTGAAGCATTGCAATGGCTACGCCGCGCCGTTGACTCCGGTCAGCTGGAAGTAGCCGACGATGAGGATCAATCCAAGCACGGGCAGCCGACCGACCTCACCAAGAAGAAGCGCCACCGCGCTCAATACGCTGTAGCCATCTACGAGCTTGGCAAATGCTACGGAAACGGCTGGGGTGCTCCTCAAGACAAGTCCCTCGCACTGCGTTGCTACGAGATCGCTGGAAACTGGGGCGATGCCGATGCTCTCGTCGAAGCCGGCTACTGCTATGCCGAAGGGGTCGGCTGCAAGAAGAACATGAAGAAGGCAGCCAAGTTCTATCGCGCAGCCGAAGCCAAGGGCGTCAGCATGGTGGGCAACAGCTGGATCTACAAAGACAAATACATGGACGACGGATCCACCACCTCGGATGAGCGGTCCGTTCGCTCAGGTCGTTCCACCACCAAAGACCACTCCAAAGACAAGAAGGCCCGCGACAAAAGCAGGACTCGCACCATTTTTGGCCGCAAGAAGAGCGCGGCTGAACCTCTCCCTCCTATGGCTTGATCCCACCACCATCTCGCCTTGTACATGTGTCCACGAACCTTTCCTTTCACAATCTCTTCTCGCGCACGGCGTCTGGGTTTAAGCTATGCTTTGGAGGTCAAAACATTTTGCCTTTCGAATACCCCATATTAACGAAATCACCTTTGCCCGGCGCATAGGCTTGGCCGCTCTTACTCTTTACTTTGGCCACCCCGCGCTTCAGCGACATTACCTGTTTTGGACCACCGCCTTTTTGATCGAATATCTTCGACATGTCGATGTACCACCTACCTTTCCTTTTTCGTCTTTCCGGGTTCGGTTTTCCATTCGTTTCCTTTGTTTATACCATTGTGCGTTTGTGCGGTGTGCCCATGGGCCGCCATTTCCTTTCCTTTTCCTTATCTTGATTGGACTCTCGAAGAAGTTCATGTGTACGTAAAGTCTAATTTACCGGTACTGGTGTACCTGGGCTGGGCTAGGCTAGGGTTGGCAAGAGGAAAGCTCTCATCTCTGACGTTGGAAGACAGTGTCATTTCTCTATCTGGGTCACGGCTGCTTTCCATTGTTTGGCAAGAAAAAGGGATTCGGGATTACTAAAGGCTGTGAATAGGGTGGTTTTTCCTCTGTTGATATCCCCGAGCGTAGCTAGCTAGCAAGCAAAGTCTCTTCCTTCATACCTGATGATGGGTGTGTGGAAGGGAGGAAATTGAAAGTTGAAGATCTATAACTACGCTTGCACTTTTGGCTGGTGATTGTGTTCGTGACTTTGATACTGATACAAGTCGATAAAAGTGATGCACTGCGCACAAGCACAGCTTGGGTAGCAATTGGGCTGATAGTCGTACCTGCTCGTTTGACCGGCGCGACTTCCGTCATCGCATCCTCATCCGACGTTTCCTTCTCCACCCGTCAATCACCACGAACAACAAATGAAGTGATGCCCTTCAAGTTCCCGCTCTATTCCCGTGCGCATTCTGCAAATGCTGAACATATCAGCACTATCTGTGTACACGACGGCATGTCCATGTTTGACCGTATCAGCCAAGGGCACAGGGTCCGCAACCAACGAGATCGCGCGCCCTTCGGAACTACTTCGATCACACGTGAATTTCAGCTACGTTTCTCATGGCTATATGTGGTGGCCTGAGGAACGTGAAGGTAGGGTGTTCGTAGAGTAATCGGGCGCCGATGTCGCATCATCGTGGTGTCTGTAGGTAAAGTATATGGCAAGTTCTTTCACCTAAGACATTTCGCACATCAATCCCCGTCTTCTTCTTCAAGAATTCCATCTGAAGATAATGCGAGGGGTCTGCACGCGGTAATCCCCGGGCTGAGTGCAGAGTCAACTGGTTTTCTTCGAGCTTCCGACACCGCTTCACCTCTCGTCGGTCGCTGTGACAACCAGCGCTCACTTTACACACCACGTCCACAGCTTAGCACCTCTGCTACCCATCCCAGGCAATCCTTCGTCCTACTGCGATCTTACGACAACTATCCTGAAGGCCAATTCTACCATGCCTTCACTAAGGGACCTCAATTGCGCCATCGAGCTATCCGGGAGTCAACAAGCATTGCGAGAGTTTGGCACCATATACGGCGACGGCTTCGTAGAAACTTTCGTCCCCGTACCCAAAAAACCACAGTCTTTCTCCATCCACCTCACCTCCAACAAGTTCATCGCTCCAGGCGTTGCCATTTTTGTTTATGTCGACGGCGTCTACCAATGTAACCGCAACAGGCAAGACTTGAAGCTACGGAAGCCTTCCGATAGTCGCTCTCTTGTCGACTTCCGTGTGCGCCAGAAAGAAGAGAGGCAGAAAGATGGGTCGATGATTGCGAGGGAGTGGGCTTTTAATAAACTCAACATTGGTAGGTGTTGCGAGAACTTCGTAGAACCGCGGTCTGCTAACTGTTCACAGCTTCAGCGGACGATGCACCGAACATTTGTTCGCCAAACATTCTCGACAACATAGGCTGCATCGAAGTCGTCGTTCTACGATGCGCCGGTACGCGCAATGCCAAATCTGCCTCAACGATGAACTTTGATGGAGCAGGAGACTTCCCAGATCACCGGTTTGGCGTAGACGATGGCTCATCGCCATCTAACGAGAGGTCCATGTACGATGACCGGGGACCATTCTTCAACACCTTCGGCAATGGCCACGGTCCACCGCCGCCGGTGCCTTCTTATCGCTCGCCATATGCCGAAACGGTACGTAGCCCGCAAGGCTCGACATCGAGAACTCATCGCACTGCATACGAAGCTCAGGAGCTCTTCCCTCCGGCGGCTATCGTAAACCACTCGCGGCCACATTCCAGATACTCAGAGGCTATCAGTCCGGGGGCGCGGCGCACCAACGACCTTCCTCCGCCAGGTTTTCAGTATGGCAGCGGTCCTATCCCGCGTGACGGAGGACCATATAACACACATCCTCCTCACGTCGGAGCGGTGCAACCTTCTGTTGTGGATCCGATGTGGCTGAACAATCTTCTTACGACAGCAGTGAAGCAAGGAGTGGAAGAGTCAAGACGGATGGACACCCAATCAGAAGGGCAGGCGAGGATCAAGGGAACACATTCAGATGCAAAGTCTGCAACTCAGCCACCAGGAGCATGGCCCGAATCTCCATTCGATGCTCCAACACAACCACATCAACACATAGAGCAGCCGGCTTTCTCCTCGCGCGATCAACAGAGCGAACACGGTTCAAACTGGGCCAAGTCACAGCCTGGATGGGGCGAACGACCTCCACGAAGTAGAGCAGGTACCCATGTTACCTGGAACGCTGAGCCTGCTTTCGAGACCGACTCCTCCAGTGCCGGCGGATGGAATGCGCGGGATGAGACCCCCTCCGATGCCTGGGACACTGGAGATACTTGGCCAACCGACAAGGCAGCTGAATGGGACGCCTCTAGCCAACAGGGAAAACTCTGGGTGACTAATCCTCCTAGTCACTACCATCTGAGGTCTAGCTCCCCAGTCACTCTTCCTAAACACAATCGACGGCGCTCGAAGCACGAAACAAAACGAAGTTCACGTTCCAAATCGCGATCAAGACGATCAAGCCGAGATCGTGAAATTACTTCGTCTTCAGACGACAACGGGAGCTGGGATCGTCTCGAACGACCTTCAGACTCTGTGGTCTCGCTAAGTAGCTCTGACGCGACTCTCCAGCCATCGCGTTCTCGAAGCCGGATACAACCCTCACGACGAAGATCGAAGAGCCGGTCTCGACATTCCAAGTCGGTACAGCGCGATCATGAGCGAAAGCCCTCGAAGCATTCCCACCGTCACCCATCTTCGAGACCCGCGGATGAAGTCCCAGTCGCTGGGCCTGCACCTTCAGTCATCACGCGAATGACACCGACAGTGATGGATGCGCCCCCTTCTGTACATCCGGAACAAGTACGGTCACGGCAGCCTAGTACTTACGCTGTTCCGCCTGCTCCGGTGATGCCCACACCAGAGTGGAACGCTGCTGTTCACGAGGCTATGAGGAAGCCTAGCAATGTTCCGAGTAACATATTCCCCGCTCCATATGCACTATCAATGAAGGACTTTGTTCAGAGTACAGATGGTGAGAAAGTAGGAGGTGGGCAATTACCTTCGGCTGTGTCTTGGGGTAGCGGTAAGAAAGATCCCATTATCAAAACTTCTTGGGGCAAAGAATTTGAGAAGAACACCGGCTGGGGAAAGAACGGTGACAATGGTTGGCAAGAAAAGGACCTCAAGGAGAATGTTAAGAAGGGTTGGTACTCAACCGACGATGATCAGGCCGGAGGCTGGAACGAGGCCGATGACAACAAGAAGACCCAAGCTGATGATGGCGGCTGGAACACGAAACATACCGGTTGGGATAATCCCCCATCCTCACCAAAACAAGAGCGAGTCGACAAAATGAATGACTGGGCCGGTCTCAAATCCGCCTTGACATCCGCTTTTGCCAACCCAGCAGTACCAGCACCAGCACCAGCACCAGAAAATGCCTGGCCAACCCAATCATGGAGCTTCCCCGCCGACAACGCGGTACAGCCCGTTGTCCAACAGCCTACTACCGCACTTCTTACTTCCGCCCCAATACCACCTGTACCTGTACCTGACAAGATGACTCCACCCAACCGACGCATGAGCAACAAAACCCTCTCTCGATACCGACCCAATCACAACTTCCCCTCCCGCATCCATCCCAAACCCACACCAAATTTGACGGCTCAACCACACTGGCAGTTTCCTCCTCCTCCTTCTACTTCCGTATCCAAGAACGTCCTGCACGCCTCCTCCCCGAACGACACGTACATCGCACCAGCCGAACCGCGCCTCACCATCAGTAAATCCACATCCAGCAAAAGCGGCATCGAACACGCCGTGCGCGCAGGCAAAGCAACGGAGTACGGTCATGTTGTCGGACGACCTGAGTATCTAGATCGTTTGGAGAAGCCGTATGCGGTGTTCCGGTTTAAGTATCGGAGTGAAGGGGTACTGAAAGGACTGGGTGTACTTGGGGAGGGGGATATGAAGCATGATGGGGATGCGGAGAAGGAAAAACAGGAGGCAGAGAAGTTGAAAGGCATACCTCAGGAGGAACTCATTGCGAAGATGTTGGCTTTGGAGAAGAGGTTAAAAGATAAACACAATGGGGAGGGTACTACTGGTGGTGAGAAGGAGAGGAAACACAGTAAGACTCACGCCGACAAGGAGAAACAGAACTCGAAACAGAGGCGGTCGAGTGAGAAAACGGATGCGCATGGTGATGGCCGGGTTAAGGATTTTACGGAACAGTGGGTTGAGCGGCATTCGAGAGATCCGAGTGTGAAGGCGAAGAGTGCAGCTGTTAAGGAGGTGGTTTGGGAGGGAGATAAGGAGAGGAAGGAGAAGGAAGTAGTGGGAACGTGGGGACAGGATGCGAATGAGGGATGGGGAGGTGGAGGTATGACATGGTAAGACCCATGCTAGCTGGTCAATCTCCGAGAGAGTTTAGTGTGTATTTGTATTTTGTACGTATAGACATCGATATAGATAGACAAGACAACATCATTGTCAGCTCTAGCTACTACCCCTCTCTCCCCACGATCAAAACTTAGCGAGTTCATCTTCACTCCCCTCTCCATCTACATCCACCCATCTCCGTTTCCTCACTTCTAACCCCCCTAAACTCCTTCTCTTTGCCGCACTCTCCTTCGCCGGCGTACCTTTCCTCGTCCACTCCCTCTTAATCCGTTTGTGGAATGCCTTTCGGTCGGCCTTCGATGTGGATTTACTGCCTTTGTCGCTACTGCCGTCATGTAGGTCGCGGATTTTGGGTGTTTGGTATGTGGTGGAGAGGAAAGAGGTTTGAGGGGTGGCTGGTTCGTGGTTCCGGTTCAGAGATGGAGTTGTTGGGTTGGGTGGTGAAGGGAGGAGTTCGTCTTCAATGGAGGCGCCGATCAGGTCGAGGGATGGGCTTTTCCGGTGGGAGGTGACATGCGTGTTTTGCTCCTTTGATTGTTGGACTGCATTGGGCTTAGCAATTCCCGAGGATTTGTTTTCGATGTGGTGAGTGGATGGCAGGACAAGGTCAGTCTGCAAGTCATCTTCGGTCTGTTGCGAATCGGGTATTACTTCGGCGAGTGGTGTTGCATGCTTTCGTATCCGAAGTGTTGTCGGCGAAGAGAAAGCTGGCTCGGCTTTTATTGCTATGCAGGAGGATTCCCGGACTGGAGTTGCGATATCGTCTTGCGTTGGTAAGTCTGCAAGCAAGTCGCTTTGTAGTGTATCTTCGTCGATCAAATCCCTCGTCTCGATGGAAGGCAGTACCACATCTCCGGATACATCTACAAGTGTGTCGTCGTCGTCGTCGTTCATCGGGAGTTGCTCCTCGTCAGAATCATCGCCAGCAAGGGATAATAGATCACGGTCATCGTCATCAAAATGAGTGCTCGACGATCGCAATTCTTCAACAGCATCTTCAGTCGGCTGGAGAAGGCCCTGGTGATGATCCTCATGCTCGGAAGAACTTGGTGTCGGCAGATGGTGCGGCGTCGTTGATGTGGCGGGATTTTGTCCCTTGGGGATATGATTTACCCCAGCAACCCGACCGCTCATAGGAGCTACAACAGACTCTTGTAGGTATAGATCCTGGTTCTTGATCGCATGCCAGCGATTGTGAAGTGCACTCATTGGCCAGTCTTTCCACTTTTGTTGGCCTTCTTTGATGACCGCCCACGATACACCGTCCATTTTCTTGCGCTTGCTTATGTACACATCATCTTCGTGAGTGAAGTGGTATCTCCTTGCAGTCCTGGGAATGCGCCTTTGGATCTCAACACGTGGACTGGTTCGGCGGGGTCTCGTTGGTGAGCTTTCGTCCGGTCTTGTACCAATCAAGGCGCAGGGTCTTCCATCAGCGACATCCCTTGAGGTAGTGTGTGAGTGTTGTGGACCTGTCTCTTTCGCTATCGGTGCTGTCGTATAGCTTGGGAGAGGGCTCGATTGGGCGACTGGAACTCGGCGTGGTTGTGCAGACAGAGGTGGAAAGAACCATTTCGGGTCCGTCGCAGGCGCTACCTTGTCATCTGTAGTTATCGGAGTAATAGGTGGAGGAGCGGCGTGTGCGAAGGGTGTTGAAGCGTTTGGCAGTACAAGACCGGCTACGGCTTGGTTGACAGCTTGGTGAATTGTCTGCAGTAGACTGGCGTGGAAAGCGCTTTGTGCTTGCTGTCCCGCGGGTGTTTGTGGAAACTGAAGATGTCGTAGGAGGTCTGCGGTGGGGTTCGAAGGATTGGGCGTTTGCGGAATGCCGAATTGCGGTATAGATGTTTCTGGCAAGTCGTGCTGAGGTATTGCAGACTGTGGCGCATTGGCCTCGGTGGCTGCGGTGTGTTGTTTGTTTATGTCTTGCTCAGGCGGTCCAGCAGCCTTTGGCTTGACCGTCTGCGGGGGTGCCAGTTCGTCCTCCGAATCTTCCCCTTCTCCCAATTCCTCGTCATCATCTTCATCGTCCTCCGGATGGCTCCCAGATCCCATAACAATTGATTCCAGTAACGTCTTCTCTTTGCCATTGCTTTGACGCTTTATTCTTCGCAGATGGCCTCTATCCACAACCACCCGGTTTGTGTTGAAGTCGATTTCGTCGCTTTGGGATGGATTCATATTTCCAAATTTCTCAAATATAGACTCAAATCGGCTTTTGAGCTTCTGTTGTTGTTTCTGCTTGGCCTTGATGTATTCGGCATTGTCTTCATCGACCTCGACTGAGTGCAGTATGCGCATGCGCTTTGCCGGCGGTTCCATGGCGCGTGTTGCCGCGCACTTTAGCAGCGAGCATGTGTCTCAACCAGCGTAAGGGCGGTGTAGAATAGGGGTCGGTGTGTGGGTTGTCGGCGTTTGCGTGTAAGACAGTCTGTGATTGCGATGCTGTGATTGACGCGAACAGCGAGACGCGACGCGGTTTCCTCGGCAGGCACCCGACACTTAGCGGCAGCCCCACCCGCATGCAGGTGATCGCCAGTGAACCGCAACCGTCATTCCGTCAGCGCCTTGGAATAGACGACCCCTCGTCAAGCATGAAGAACAACAGCTCATGACAACATGGCCATCGACAAGAAACAGACGGCCCTGGCCTGTCAGAAATGCCGGACGCCTATAGACATCGACGCCTCCATCGACCAGCTCAACCCGGCCGCATTCAAGCTATTGACTGGTACATGTCTATGCTGGTAACTATCAGGCATCAGACTAACATGTTTTAGACTCGACGGTATCAGGCCAACAGCCAGCATCACGCATATCCCCGAACCGCCAGTCGCGTCCTCCGAACCCGCCCGAACACCTCAAGACATATCAAGATGCCGCCAAAGACGCCAGGAACCCTACCTTCAAGCGCAACATCCAAGGCGCACCGCCCTCAGGACCCTCAAATGGCCCCCAGAACCCCGCCATGTCGTTCATCGACATACACATGTCCGAGTCGATGATAGACCCACACTCTTCAGCCGTCCGTAGCCCAGATCGGAAAACACAAGCAGGCGAGACGAAGCCGAATGCGAATGACAAGACACGACGGAAGAGCTTCTCAAATGGACTGGGCATACAGGGAGGCACGAGTCTGGCCGATACACTGGAAACAACAAATCGCATGTTCGAAATACTATCAGCACGCTCCGACGTCGACCACCCCATCTGCGTAGAGTGCACCGAGCTGCTCATCGACGGCCTTCAGAAGCGACTAGGCGTAGCAACCCGCGAACGCGACGCATACGTCGACTACCTGCGCCGCGCCAACACCGACGTGCCCAGCGCCGAAGAAGTCAAAGCCGCCGAAGCTGCCCTCAAAGCAGCCAAGAAGGCCGAAAGCACCGCCATCACGCAGCTCGAGAACCTCGAAGCCGAAAAGGCCGAACTAGACGCCCAGCTCGCCGCCCTAGAAGTCGAGAGCCGGATCCTCGACCAAGAAGAAAGCGAGTTCTGGAAGAGCAGAAACGCCTTCAACACCACACTGACCACTATCCAAAACGACCGCGACGCTCTAGCCACGCGATACGCGCACGATGCGCAGATCTTGAACCAGCTTCAAAGGAGAAGTGTATACAACGACACCTTCAACATAACCCACGACAACCACTTCGCCACCATCAACGGCCTCCGCCTCGGCCGCTTGCCAAACCCGTACGTCGACTGGCCCGAGATTAACGCTGCATGGGGCCAAACCTGTCTCCTCCTCGCCACCCTAGCCGACCGACTAAACTACAAGTTCGACGGCTACGAACTCTGTCCCATGGGCTCTACATCCACTATCACACGTATCGAAACGAAAGGCGGCACCGGAAACACAGTGTCTGAATCAACACGCCAACCCCAGTCTACAAGCGCCAACTCACCCCAAGTAACAAGACAAAAACTCGAGCTCTACTCCTCTGGCGACTTCCCCATAAACTTTGGCTTTCTACATAGAAAGTTCGATACGGCTATGGTTGCGTTTCTGGAATGTCTACGGCAATTGGGTGAGTTTGTGGAGAACTCTGCTGCTGCGCCGTCGTCACATGCTGTTGTCGGTATGGCAAGCCCTGGAGGTGGACCACCAGGCGGCGTCAAGATGCCGTATGAGATACAAAAAGATCGCATTCATGATCAGAGTATCAAGTTGGCATTGAATAAGGATGAGGGCTGGACGAAGGCGTGCAAGTATACTTTGACGTGTTGTAAGTATTTACTTGCGCATGCGAATAATGTGGAGAGTTTGGGGGCGAGACGGCGGTAGGGGAGTAGATATTGAGTTTGGGGAATGTGTGGTTTGCTTGTTTGATTAGATACCCCATTGATTCTTTCGTGTTTATAGACTTGATATATTCTCGCTGTTGTGGAAATGGACGGGTGACCACGAGTCGGTATATTGATACGATAGTCTCGCACCTACCTCTACCCATCTCCTTGAATGCTACGGACTGAGTGCTTTGCATGAAGCGTCCTCAGCATCTGATCTCCTTATTTCACGTTGCATTATGGAAAGATATACACTGCACAAACTACTACCCATGAATCATGTGCACGTCGCATTCCTATCTCATGTGATACAGCGCCAACAACGAGAACATGTGTACATGAGGCTCTTTCGTGTCCCCAATGTGCGATATCCCTATCTCGTGTTACACCTACCTGCGATGAGGATGCTACGTTGCGGGTGCTAGTCTTACTGCGGACTGTCTGAAGTTGTACAGAGATCCTGTGCAATGGTGGTTTTGAGCTACCTTTGACCTCAACGCTGTGAGATAAGGATCGAAAGCTTATTCGAGGCTAGCATTTGACTTGAAGGTCTATAGGCGACAGGAGGGTCGCAGTTCCGTAGAGCTGTACTCTGGAGCTTACTCTGATGAAGCCTTGCGTACATGGGCGTGTCTTGCGAGAGGTAGCACTGAGAGACATCTCCCATTGTTCAAGATAGGATACGGCGAGCTTAGAGGTCGAGCATGATGCCAGCAGGGAGTTTGACGGTCGTTTAGGAGATTGGAACACCCGGTGTGTACTCAGTCATGTTGCTGTCAACCAGAACCAGAACGGCAACTTACTGCTTCCGATCGTCAGAACGTCGTGTGATGCTGTTGATGCGCTGCCACCGCACCGACCGGGAAGCACGGACACCAAGACCAACTCAGCATCCGGGAGGCACCGACGTGGCAGCATGAAGCACCTCTTGAATCAGGGGCGAAAAAGGAAGGTCACGATACTTGCTCGGTGGTGTTGCGGCTCCTAGCGCTGGGTAGGACCATGTCAGCTGAGTCGTACAGCCCCGTGACTACCTAGGTATCGGTGGCGCACGTCCAGCCGGACGAACAGCGAAGCCGGCATCCATGGGCGAGCAGGCTCGCAGCGGCATAACAGGCAAAGCCGATGCTCTAGTGGAAACGGAATGCCTATCCCGAAGCCTAGCTTGCCGGTGTGATCGTCTCTGAGCTAGATGAGCTTCGTGGAAGCGAGCTGGCCAGGGGTTTTGAGATCTTTGCGGGGTAGCGTATTTCCTTAGCTCATAGAAACTGAGAAAGGAAATTAGGGGTAAGAAGATGGACACTGGGGTGCTGTGGAGAGGCACAGTCGATATAGTGAACGGTCTGCTGTGCTCGTTTGCGCAAACACCCGTCGAATATGCCGTCAGCGATTGCATCATTCTAATCAATGTCAGCACTTCGTACCCTGATTACTTCCGCTGTTTGGGGATCGCTGTGTAGTGTGCTCGGCTCAAGTGGTGAGCTAGAGTAGTTCCCGTAACGGTATCGATTCTTGGTTGTGGAGAAGTCGCATAGCGGGGAAGTTTCGAAGACGTAAGATATTACCAAATAAGCCCAGATGGACACGATGGTGAGAGGCCTAAGCTCCAGCTCATGCAACAGACCGGAAAATACGTGTCACCAGGAGGATGAGCCCATGCAGGAGGAGAATTTGCACGATCCACTTGGATGTGAAGGTCATGACATGAGTTGTGCGTATGGCATAGCGTGCGACGTGCCTTGCATGGCGAGCAAGAAAATCCAGCACGTTCTGGATTCGTGGTATTCAACGGAAATGGGTATTGCAAGGCTGGTCGCGTATGTGCTGTGCTGCACAAGACGTTGGCTAAGACGCTGGCAGTTTGACGACAGAAGATGCGAGACATGACATAGATGGCGACACCCGCAGCCGCAGCCGTAAACGCCTGGAGAAGCGGAGATGCTGAAAGTGTCCGGTGCGTCGGATGTAATATGGCACAGCAAGCCACACGCTCGAGATGTCGTGAGAAGAGGCGTGAGTACGGCATCACGACCAGGCGACGCGACGCGACAGCATGGAAGCAACGGAGGTTGGACCCAGCAGAGAGGCGCCATGCAGGCACGGGGATGATGAAAGATGGTCGGAGGGTCTCGTCAGAGATTTCCATGTGTCATTGGTGGTCAGGTGGCCTGCGGATTGAATTTCCTGGGGGTAATCGAAACGCCAGCCACGAGCCACGTGAAGCCAATTTTCTGCTTTGCTTCGCCGCCCCAGCAAACCCGAGCCCGCCAAGCCACCGTGACGTAAAGAGAACCTAACCTCACAACCACTTTCCATCGCAAAACTATACGCGTGCGACGTGCTGCTTACTGCCCTATTGGCTCGGTTGGGCTGTGAAGTGATCCTTCTAGCTCAGAGCCATGTCGGCCCAGCGTCCGAGTCGTTGGCGCTTGTGCATGGACCTGGGGAAGACACAAGACGTCTGACTAACAATGAACCACGGTGCTCTTTGTCCAAATAAATCTCTGCGGTAGGTGCTGCCTGACTATAAGAGCCCCGGAGTGCCTTTCACTCTGGAATAACTGCCTGACCTGTCACCAATACATAAACCTACGGATCCCTCACCTGCTCTCACACCACCAGACAACGAGTCACCCTACCGTCACCACCGTCAATCATTCAATGCACATCAACGACTTCCCCTACGAAGTACTCACCCAGATCCTTGAGGAGGTCACCAAGGCCAATATACGTGATGGCCCCACGTATACTTTTGGTCTCCAGCAGGCGCCACTGCCTCTCGAGAGGGCCAAGCTCCAGCGCTATGTGAGAGGCCCGGTCCCGCCAGAGCTCCTCAAGTGGGACGCAACTGCCACTCTACGATCCGTTTGCTGGAAGTGGCACGAGTGGGCTTTGGAGCATTCCATCAAGGACGTCTACATCCGTCGCTGGAAGGGCGGAGAGGTAAGCAAGAGCAACACATCTGCAATCGACACAGTGCTAACATGGCATAGCGATGGGCCGAACTTTCCAACAGGCGAGAGAGCTACCCACTCTACGAGCTCATTGACCGTCCGACTGGCACAGCGGTCTACCGCGACCCCTTCGCCTCTCTCAAGCGGACTGTGAGCATCTGCAATGACTACCCGCAGGTGGCCGCCAAGATCAAGCGCATGTGGGTGCACGGCTTCTACACCGCCGAGACCGACCGTCTGGTGTTCCAGTCGCTCAAGAACTGCACAAACATCACCTCGCTCTCTCTTCCATGGACGACCATCCGTCACGTGGACGCCACGGCGTGGCGTGCTGTGCTCACTGGCACCGGCAAGCCACTTCAGTCGCTGGAACTCCAATGTGTCGACCCGACTTCGCAGCAAGCAACAGACAAGGATAACATCGTTGATCTGGAGCCACTGCAGTCGGTAAACTTCAGCCAGCTGCGGCGACTGAAGATCTTTGGCGACACTAGCTTCATGCCCATCACCGATGATGATCTTTTCGCCATCGCTCGCACGGCCACTCAGCTGGAGGAGTTCCACTTGACCTGCAACTCCTCCATCACCATCGATGGTGTCATGGCCATTGTCAAGGCATCTCGGAAGACGCTCCGAGTCCTTGAGCACAGCCCGCGGTCACAGGATGGCTTCTGGCACCCGCATCCTGGATCACCGAGCGACTGCGAGCATCTCTGCGACACGTTCCGGAACTGCCCAAAGCTTGAGACTCTGTCCATCTCTCTTCCTTCCGTGTGCTCCCATCTCTTTTCCAACGACGATGCGAAGTTCGCAGGTGACCTGCAGGTACGTGCTCTGCACTTGTGTGAGCACGAGGACGGTCGCTCCACTCACGAAGCTACCGACGCCCTGCAGAAGCTTCTTGAGCAAGCCCGTCGCTTTATCCGCCTCCGCGCGCAGAGTGCTATTCCTCGCGAACTGTACGTCGAGCTGTTCTTCGCCGAGTGCATCTTCGAGCCCGGCTTCCAGTCCGTCCATGGCGACTTTTCGCTGGCTCAGGTCTCGTCAGACGGGCACTGGCCACAGAACGTCGAGTTCAGCGGCAAGGGACCCTACGGAAGCACCGGCCTCTACGGAAAAGAGGAGGAGGCACAGTTCCAGCGCATCGACGAAGCCGAATTTCTAGCCGGCGTCCGCAGGAGGCTCCTATCTATCCAAACCTGATTGTGGGTAAAACCACTGATAACGGCCGACTTCACTTCAAGTGTAAACTTTTTATTGCGAACCTATACTTACGAAATTACGACCACATGCATGAGCGACAGGCCTGGAGCCAAAGAGATACCAGGCTGGAGCAGCCACATTGTATTCATGCATTTGGGGAAATTCATAACGAGAACATGGCCATGTTCCGAAAAAGCGAATACTGCGTATTGTTTACTTGGGAAGGCGGGGTGTCTATTGCTTTTTTACCATCTTGCAGTTTGTTAGCATTTTAGCGTTCAACCTTAAATCAGTATAATGAATCAAGCTTCACACTCATCTGACAACCGTCCCACCGTTCATCTGTGCAACAAAACAGTCTTCGCGCATGTTCGAAGTAGGAAACTTGCTTTGCATCCCCGATCACGAGAATAGCAACACACGATTGATAAGAAACTTCGCGAAAGCTCCAATTTTGCCAACGGGTTCCACACCTTGGCGATCAAAGACCAACACCCCGCACCTGCAGTCCACGCACCCACACCCTCCCAAAGCAGACAAGCCCAGGTACAGCTTTCCGCACTTTTTGCTTACACACCGCATGGTCATCCGTTATGTACGCCGGAAGCCAACCTCTTTCTCTATCCGAGCGATGGGAGCTTACCAACCTAGAGTAAGGTCTCAGTCCCGTACACGCCGAACACCGACCGATTGTCTGCTGAATAAGAGGCACGGGAGCGCGGAAGATGTCCGCCCCAGCGAAAAGTACTTGCCGGGCCCAGGATGGTGGGTTCCTCTGCTAATTGACTCGCGATGCAGCAGGTTAGCCGGAGGAATGTTACCACCAACGTACCTTTCCCCAGCGAAACAGAAAAAAACGAATTGACAATCTCTTACCAAAGGCTCATGTAATCATCGGAAACGCCTATGACGCTACTGCACCGGGTATATATGTGGGGCGCTAACCGTCGGAGCTTTACTGAGAGAGGTATAGTGAGGAGCGCTATGAGGGGCAGAATGGCGCAAAGCAGTTGTTTACAGGACAGCTAGGTAGCTAAGCTCGCTCGGTGCGATTGGGCCGGTGGATGATGTAGTAGCCATGGCATGATGTATTGCGAGATAGACACAGTCTATGGGGATCGAAGACTGTTGACGACAAGGGGTCAGGGTTATCTCATGCACCATGCACATGCCAGCCCCCGGTGGTGCTGGTGCTGGCTGCTGGGTATAAGTAGAAGGTGCGTACCCCACCCCGAAAGCTCTCTTCTTTACTTCACTACTACGCATCTCTCTCCTGTCTCATCGTCCTACTCTACTCGTTCTTTGTGATACCCCCCAGAAGTTATTCAAGATGGCTCCCAAGATCGCGATTGTTTACTACTCCATGTACGGCCACATCAAGAAGATGGTATGTTGCGATTGTGTTGAGATGCGGAGCTGTTGTTTGTTGCGAAACGGCTCCCCACTCGATTGATTCCTGGTAATTGAGAGCTTCTGCTAACAGAGTTGAATAGGCCGATGCTGAGTTGGAAGGTATCAAGGAGGCTGGTGGTGACGCCAAGCTCTTCCAGTATGTATTCACTTTCCAACATCCCTAACACCTTGATCTCCCTGCTGGCAATTGCATTTGCAAATGCTACATCACCGTGTTCCATCTCTCCCAAGACCACCAACTAACCCCCTCCCAGAGTCGCCGAGACCCTCCCCCAAGACGTCCTCGACAAGATGTACGCACCCCCCAAGGACGCCTCGATCCCCACCCTCGACGACCCCGCCGTCCTCGAGGAATTCGACGGAATCCTCTTCGGCATCCCCACCCGCTACGGCAACTTCCCCGCACAATTCAAGACCTTCTGGGACAAGACCGGCAAGCAATGGCAACAAGGTGCCTTCTGGGGCAAGTACGCCGGTGTCTTCGTGTCAACCGGTACCCTCGGTGGTGGCCAGGAGACCACTGCTATCACCAGCATGAGCACGCTTGTGCACCACGGTTTCATCTACGTGCCGCTCGGATACAAGACAGCGTTCAGCATGCTTGCTAACCTCGACGAGGTTCACGGTGGTAGCCCTTGGGGCGCTGGTACCTTCTCCGCTGGTGACGGCAGCAGACAGCCCTCTGAGCTTGAGCTTAACATTGCGAAGGCTCAGGGTAAGGCTTTCTACGAGGCGGTTGCCAAGGCCCACCAGTGACTAGATGGCGGAAAGACTGCTGGCGATGCTGTGGGTGAGAAGAGCGTCGAGGGAGTAAATGGAGCGGGAGCGGCGACTAACGGTACTACTACTGCTGCGCCTGCTGCTGCTGCTACGTCTGCTCCTGCTGCTGCTTCTTCATCGCAGCCTCAGCAGAAGGGGCCGGAAGAGAAGGATAAGGAGGGTCCGTGTGGATTGCCTGCAAAGTGCGATATCATGTAGACGTTTTGTCATTCTGCTTCTTCCGCTCTCTATGGTTCGCTTGTTTAGACATCTGCACGACGAGATAAATGAAATAAAGTAATACCTTCATCAATTTGGCCTTGACCTATGATGACTGAACTGACTGTCAATGTGTATTCTAGTTAGGAACATGTCGCGTAGATTTGATAGTGATCGCTATCTTGCAACAAATAACATCTTACCTGCATTTCATTGCACTTTGAAACGTTTTGGTGAAGAAAGGATTGGGTATCATTCTGTCCAACTACTATCGAATATCTGTAACCAGACTGCTGAAGCGGAAATCTATCACACAAGGCCTCAACGAAGTCCTGACCAAAAAAAAAAACGCTCCGTCTATACCAACCCCAAGGAGAACGCCAAATCCCACATCTTACCCAGTTCTCTCTACCCACCTTTCTCCTCCTCTCCCTTTCCATCCTGCGGAACATGATCATGAATGAACTCATCCACCCAATCCTTTACCCCATCAGCCTTGTGCGTCAACCACTCCCACCAACTTTCCTTCTTATCTCCCTCTCCCTTATCGTCATCGCTCTTCTCTCCCTCGCTGTCTTTCAACTCGTCTTTCCCACCACTCGGCGGCGTAGGCCGACTAGGCACATCTTCCAAAATCGGACTCGTATCTTCGAGTCCAGACGCTGACGCCGCGATACTGGAGAGAGAGTTTAAGTCTGTTGCGGCCATGGATGCGAGGTTCGATGGTTGTGGTAGAGAAGAAGAGAGGGTGGTGGAGGAAGAGAGAGTGTAAGAAGACACGGGGTCTTCGGGTGTTTCTTTTTCGTTGCCAGATACCGAGTCATCGTCGGAGTGAAGGCCGACGGGCTTCAACGGTAGGCGCAGCGTACCGTTGTTGGGCGCAGGGTTCAGACCGATGGAGTCGCAGACTATGTTGTAGAGTTCGATGTTCTCTGTTTGGGACTGTTAGTTTACTTCTCCTTGTGTATGCATGATATGGATGAGATGGAAACTTACGAAACGGCTCCATCCTGCTCCCAGCTTCATGCGGAAACGCAGGCCCTCTTGCAATAAAAACAGCTCTCATAAGCGGATGCTCGTGATCGTATCCGTGGAGTCCTTTCGGATGATACTCCTCACCCGTCTTCAACCCCACCTCAACGTTGAATTCGTCTTTCGTTACAATCGCCCAACCCGTCTTGGGAACAATCCATAGCGGGGCAATCCTATCGTTCTTGCTGAAATGGTAGCGCTCCGGCATATTCTCATCCCGCAGGTAGACGTCAAGGTTCGGGTTATCCTTCGTACGTTCTAGAAGCTGGTTGTAAAGGCGGTGCAAGGAGGCTGGGTCTTTGGGGCGGAGGCCATAGAGGGGCCAGCCGTCTGTATGGGATAGTTCCGCGGGGTCGATGAGGTCCTCGAGTTGAACTAGGCGGGTTTTGTCTGTGGTGGCCATGCCGTGGTCTGAGACAACAATTACGTTGACAATATTTGTTAGGTTGCGCGCGTGGAGACCTGCTAGGATACCTGCCATCATTGTGTCGGCATTGGCAATCGTTTTGCGGATTTCGGTGCTGTTGGGTCCGAAGCGGTGGCCGTCACCGTCTACGTCAGGGACGTATGCTGCGATAAGCTGAGGTCGCGGTGTATTTGCGCTCGCGCCGATGTCTTTGGGGCCAGGCAGATCGAGGAGCTCCATTATGCGATCTACCTTTGTAGGTAAGACTTCTGAACCGTTGTACTTGTCGATGTAGGCAATCTCTTGGTTCAGGATATGCGCTTCTGAACCTGGCCACATGTGGACTGCTGTCCTGACTCCTTGCTTCTCAGCTGTCACCCAGAGAGGCTCGCCGCCCCACCAGTGCGGTTGCAGACTGCGTTTGGGATCGGTGTAGTAGAACTCCTGCTCGAGTTCTGGGTCCCAGAATGTGTTTCCTACTACGCCGTGCGCTTCGGGGTACATGCCCGTGGCCATTGTATAGTGGTTCGGGAATGTGACGCTGGGGAAGCTGGGCATCATGTACTTTGGCGATATCCCCTCTGCCGCAAATTGGTTGAGCGTAGGTGTGAGGTTTCGGTATAGGAAGTCGGCGCGGAAGCCGTCGAGCGATATGAGGATTGTCGTCGGCGCAAAGAGTGACGTGCCGTTGGAGAGCATGGCTGCTGCTTCTTTGACATCTTTCGGCGTAGAGAGGTTGTACGTGGCTGCCAGGAGAACGACGAAGAGGACGATGATGGATACGTATATGGCTATTCGTCGGTACAGACTCTTCCTGCGTACCTGTTCTCTATTAGCTTCATTCGCGCACCCGTAGACTCTACACACCTTCCTCTGCGATTCGCTCGCAAGTAACCGCTGTTCATCGCTCAATGAACTTCTTCCTGATCGGAAACTCGTACTGGAAGCGCCAATGCCTTCTTCCATTTCGTACATGAGCGCGCTCGACTCTTCATTGCCGCCTTTCCTGCGCTCCTTCATCTCCTTCTTCTTATCCCACTTTCCGACCTTGACGCTCGAGGCTCTGCGCCCCAATAAGCCCTTGCCACCATCTTTCTGCGTAAGAAGCCTCTCGCGCTCGTCTTCTGAATCTAGAATGTCGTGATCGCGTTCGTCAAGTTCGCCGGAAGGTCTGCCATCGTAGCCCTCATCGTCGGAGGTGTGGTCGTACAGGGTGCGCTCGTCGGTGCCAGCATCGGAGCTAGGCACCCGTTGCGATTCGTTGTGCGGTTGCGAAGACATGATCGCGTCTTCAGGCGATATGTTACATAGCTAGGTGGAAAAGAAACGTTGCGCCGCTACGGTGCTCAACATGTTTTGGGGGTCAGCGACCCCAGACGTGTCGCTTGGCATCCATGTTTCACGCGTGCAGGACGGTTATGTCGGTCGCGTAAAGGCGCTATTCGGTAATTTACTTTCACTAAACCTCCATCTAAAAATTGGGGTGAACAGAACATTTGACTTGACTTTGTGCATGCAGCAGATGATAGATTATCCAAGATCGTACATTATTTCCGTTGTTCAAGATTCGTTCATGCCATCACCAAGACCACGTCACGGCCGGCCTTCCACTTGAGACCTGCGCCGGCTATCTTCCCCTTAGAGCAAACCCACAACAACAACCACATATGCTCTGCAAGCTCTCCCCAATTAAACAGCTGCACCATCCCAAGAGTTTCAGAAGTACCCTTCTCTCTGTAGAGATATGCGCCCCAGCCGAGTCTGCCATCTTTCAGCGGTTCACACACGCCATCCCAAATGTCTTTCTGAGCCTGCGCAGGCCAAGCCGACAAGTCAATGAGCCAATGGCCTCTTTCATTGCCCACTGGATCGCGTGACTTTCCAACTGGTTTGAACTTGCCTGGATACTGTTCCTTGAGGGCTTCCAGATAGGGTGTTACCTGCCGAGGCCACGCCTCCGGACTCTCTACACCTATCTTTGGTGGTGGAGATTCAACTATCTCCGGATAATCGGTGAAGTCTATGGGCGGACCGGAATTGTCGATTTTTTGCACCTTGTTGTTCTCACTGGCTTGGTCTTCTGCTAATGGGGAAACTGGCTTTGGCGCATCGGATGAGCGGAAGCTTTCTTGCTGAGTTGGGACGACGCTGCTGGATTTGGGATGCACTTCTGAGGAAGCAGGCGTCTTGGCTTCTGATATATCGCTACCTATCTCCAGGCGCGTACTTTCCCGACGATTCACATCTGCGAGAGGTACCTGGGGCGAAGACGTAGCGCTAGGCGCATCCGGCTCTTCTGCTGTAGCGACAATCGTGGGTTCCGTTGGCATAGCAGGCGACGAAGAAGTCTCCTGCGTGACGTCTCTAGCGTCCGACTCGTCTCCGGACGTGTTCTCGGAAGTCATCGAAAAGCTATCCTGCAATTGACTCTGTAATGCTTGAACCGCAGCTTGCGTATCCTCAATAAACGCTGTATCAGCATCCTCAGGACTGCTAAGAACATCTTTTATAGACCGCCGTTTGCTAGCAGCGCTTGACTTGGGAGTTGCTTGCGCTTTCCAGTTTTGATGGATACGTTCTAACCGCGCAAGCCGACTAGACGTTGGCGCAAAGTCGTCTTCTCCCACATTGGCAGACGACGCGCCGACGTATCTTTTGGGATATTCATCGGACGATAAGTGAGATGGGAAACTGCCGTAGGAATCTTTGTTGGTCGATAAGAAGGAGGTGTTGACGGACTCGCGAAATGAATTTCCTTTGTTTGGTGGCGAAGGGTCGCTCACTCGGGAAGCACCAACTTGGCTCGACACATCGTGTTGTGGTGTCTCCTCAACGTTTTTTCGATGTGGTCTAAAGTCGAGATAAGCGTCGGCCAAGGAGCGGTAAAGTTGGTCGTTTTGTCGAGTAGCCGGAGCGGAGATATGAACCAAAAGCTCGTGTTCATCGTCCATAGTTGAGTACGAACAGGTAAATCTTGAGTTTTTCAAAATCCATCGTAAGAGATATATACAAAAGCGATCCAAGTAAAGCGCGCACGGATTGTTGTTGCGTGAGAGGACGGAAGAGGTCAAGTGTAGACGAGGAAGGGTTCAGCGGGTTCATTGACGCGACTTGGCAGGTGCGAGTAAGGTCTGTGCACCTTCTCACGAACGCATCACCATACTTGTCGATTAGCATGTAACGGAGTTAGACAGTCGAAGGATATCCTCTCGATCTTCAAGTTCATATCACTGAATGTGTTTGTTCAGCTCGAGGACAGCATCGTCCAGCGCCGTCATTCAATGGTATGTCGTCTATCATGCATGCTATCATGTAACCATCCCTACGGATATCGCTGAAG